GGTCACCTCAGCAGTATTAGCACTCTGCCTAGGATAATGCGCAAGTACTGAGTGCCAGAGGGGTATAAAGGGGAACAGGACACTGAACCACAGGCTGGCTCCAGAATTCCTTGTCTCAAAATCTGCTTTAGGCAAATCTAACTGCACCACGAATTAATTCATGTAATCAATATTGACAGAATTGTCTTCTCATAGCAACTTAGGCTACAAATTTGGAATAGTAACCAGAATTTACTGTTTCCTGTGATCTTTCTTAAGCCCCAAGAAACAACTTAAGTTCCTTTATTAAAATTTATTTATTTATTGGCTTTTTTGGACCACACCCAATGATTCTCAGGGATTACTCCTGGTTCTGAACTCAGGAATTACTCCTGACAGTGCACAGGGGACCCTGTGGGATGCCAGGGTTCAAACCTGGGTTGGCTGCATGCAAGGTAAATGCTCTACCTGCTGTACTATTGCTCTGACCCCTCAATTTACTTTTTTAGTGGCAACTGCTTCCTATAATTCCTGTAATTATATTACTATTATCTCGTTCACAATAGACTTCTGCCTAATATATTCTTATGTGCAGTTTTGGGGGAATTTAGGACCGACACCCACACATACACGAACAAAGCACTCAAAAACCCATGACTTATAGTTTCACAGCAAATTTTTCACCTATTCTAAGCTTTTTGGGAACCAGGGTAAATTGCCAATGAAGCATTTAACTTTCTTATATGGTAAGCTTCTTGTGAAGAGTAAGTGAATTAATACGTTAAAAATATAGAACAGCCTGGTCTGTACTCTATTCAATAAATGCTAGTGTGCTTTTATCATCCTATATGTATTTTCTTATCTGTCACAATAACCAATAGCGATAGCACAGCGGTAGGGCGTTCGCCTTACAAGCGGCCAACATGGCCGACCTGAGTTCGATTCCTCCGCCCCTCTCGGAGAGCCCGGCAAGCTACCGAGAGTATTCGATATGCCAGACACAGTAACAACAAAGTCTCCAATGGAGACGATACTGGGCCCACTCGAGCAAATCGACGATCAACGGGAGGGCCTTTACTTTACTTTACTTTACTTTGACAATTTATTGAGCAATTACAGAAGTTTTTGTTTCAAGTCCTTTAACTACCAGACCAGATTTTTAAGTTTAACTTGTTTAAATAATATTCTTAAATCAGGTCAATGTTTCAGATTTTCCCAATTCATGAAAATGTAAACCAGATGTGAGGATAATAGTGGGAGCATATTTGTAAATGCTTTTTCCCCCTCAAATACAAAACATGTGAAACTATGTGATATTATTCTGATGGAAATATGGGATATTATTCTGATACTAGTAGGGGTGCTGGGTAACTTATGTGAAGTGGGGAGGGGAGGGACAGCTGCCTTGAGATCTACAACTTTCTCTCAATCTACCTCAACCACCCCGGGAAAGGCTGGGGAATTTAGGACTGAGTCAGCTATGAGTCCCTACTGGACACGGACTTCACCTCCCAGCAGCCCCACAAGGCAGTCTTCAAACTGCACCCGACATCCACTTGTTCTGTGAGGCTCAGGAGTTGATCCCTACCGGCTGAAGCGATAGCACAGCGGGTAGGGCGTTCGCCTTACAAGCAGCCAACATGGCCGACCCGAGTTCGATTCCTCCGCCCCTCTCGGAGAGCTCGGCAAGCTACCGAGAGTATTCGATATGCCAGACACAGTAACAACAAAGTCTCCAATGGAGATGTTACTGGGCCCGCTCGAGCAAATCGACGATCAACGGGAGGGCCTTTACCTTTACCTGACTCATGTTGGAGCAAGGAATTGATCTTTGCAGGAAAGTCAGTCTGTCTTAGACTTTATCCAGGCCTTTCAGGTCCATCACCTTTCTCTCGCAGGAAAGACTATCAGAAGGAGACAAACAGTAAAGTGTTTCCTAATAAACAAGTTTATTAGAAAATAAAGGGAGGTAAATAGAGAGGTAAGATTAAGTGCTCAAGAGAGAACAGAGCCTCCTCCAGAGTGGAGAGACCGCGAAAGAAGACATCTCTGGAGGGGAGATGCAGGCGGCAGGCGCTTGGGCATTGCGCACTGGACAGTAACGTGCTCAGGAAGCACTGCGGCCATTTCTTTGTTCCAGTTGGCTTCTATACCATTTCCCCAAACTGTCCTCAGTCTTCCCACCCCCTGCCCATTGCTAGGGTTGTTGCCCAAGGAGACTGGAGCAGTTGATGGTCTTGATAATCTCTATCTGGTCTTTCTTGCAGTCCCCTCCTCCCTGGAGGTTCAGCCCCCTCTTCTCACAGGAAGCCTCCTGAATTTGACCTGGAATTCTGCATCTCAATGGCTTTCCAGGCTTCTAAAATGAATCCTTTGTGTCAAAGACCTCCTTGCTGGTTCAGATTTCAAACTGCTTTCTCCAGATCCAGTGTCACCTCCCCATCTTCCTGCCTGCAACAATTCCAATATTTTTGTGCAGTTAGACAACTAACTCCAGCAATGACAAAGTGAAATTCTTTATTCTTCTTTGTATACCTTAGGACTCAAAATTATTTCCATCTTCGTGGTTAAATTTCAAATGAAACTAATTTCATGAGGATAATTCTTTAAAAAATTTTTTATTGAATCACAGTGAGCTAGTTACAAAACTTTCAATCATACAATGTGTTTCAATTATACAATGATCAAACACCCATCCCTCCACCAGTATACATTTTCCACCACCAATATCCCCAGTATTCTCCCCAACCCTGTCCTCTGAGTCTCACCCCACCCCCTGCTTCTATGGCAATTTCCCTCTTCTCTCTCTCTCTCTACTTATGGATATTATGGTTTGCAATACAGATAATAAGAGGCCATTATGTTTGGTCCTTTATCTACTTTCATCTCCCATCCTGAGTGATCCTTTCTCTATTCCAGCTGCCTTCTCCCCCAGCTTATAAGGCAAGCTTCCAATCGTGGCACAATCTTCCTGGCCCTTGTCTCTACTGCCCTTGGGTGTTAGTCTCATATTATGATATTTTATATTCATGAGGATAATTCTTGGGCTAGAGCGATAGCACAGCAGGTAGGGTATTTGCCTTGCACTCTGCGATCCAGGTTGGATTCCTCAGCCCCTCTCGGAGAGCCCAGCAAGCCACTGAGAGTATCCCACCCGCAGGGCACGGCTTGGCAAGCTCCCCATGGTGTATTGGATATGCCAAAAACAGTAACAACAAGTCTCATAATGGAGATGTGATTGGTGCCTGCTCAAGCAAATTGATGAACAATGGGATGACAATGCAGTGCAGTGCTCCAGAGGATAATTCTTAAATAATAATGAAGAACATGAATAGCCTACTATGAGGCAACAATCCGATAAAACTGAAATGGCCTTAGCACCATAAAAGGATCCACCAGATAACCTCTGAATATCTGTATTGCAAACCACAATGCCCAAAAGGAGAGGAGGGAGGGGGGAACTGGGAACAGTGGTGTTGAAACACTCTATGGCTGAAAACTAATGAACAGTTTTGCAAGGGTCTCTCTCACAGTGATTCAATACAAAAAAAAGTTAAAATTAAATTTTAAAAAGAACATTTAGAACCAAATGTTGGCCTCTACGAATTTGGAGGACCCTTTAAACTCAGGGTTAGATAGGTTTCTTTCAACTCAGTGAAATTTGTTCACTTATTGAGAATCATCTTTTTTCTAAAAAGATGGACCAGGAGATGGTTCGGTGGTTGAGCCCATGCTTTACATACAAGAGACCTGGTTTGAGGTCCTAGCATCTCAAGGTCCCCTCTGTCACTGCTTGTACTGAGGCAGGAGTACCCCTGAGCACAGCCACTTGCACCACCACCACCACCACCCTACGCCCCAAAAAAGAAAAGGGGGGAAAAATCTGCCTTTGCTTTGAATCACAGGTTTCTACCATTGGGGTAGGATCTGAAAAACAGGGGCCAGTTTTCATTGACCTACTTCAGAGCCTCTGAAAGCTAAAAGATTTCCAAAACGAACCTAATGCTCATTGCTACAGATCGCTCCCCACCTGCGCACCCAACCCCTTGAAAGTGTCTATTTTTTCAAGGTGCCACTTGGAAAGATCAACTCCAGATCTAGCTCTCCACGACTGGTTTGCCACAAAGGACTCCCGGGGCCGCAGGTCTGGGTCCCGAAAGCGCGCGCGGAAGCGAGTAGAACTGGGCTTCCAGCACAACAGCGCAACACGCTGGGCGGCCGGCGCTGCCGGGGTGGGGGAGAACGCCCGGCGCCTGGCAAAGGAAGGTGCGAAGAAGACAGAGCCTTGCCATGAACGCCGCCGAGCCGCCCCTCGATCTAGAAAACCGTTATAGCCGCGGCTCTCAGATCCCATCTGCCCGGCCCGCCCTGGCAGCCGCAGCGGTAACTGCGCCCCGAACGCGCGCGAGGCCCTGCGTTCGCAGCCGCCAGGTTAGGGGCAGCTCGGCCACGCCAGCGTCGCGAAAGGGGGCGGCGTTTTCTGCCGGGATTCCAAAGAGGAAAACCAGGAAAGGAGGAAGCGGTTGCGCCACTGGACTCTGGGGGTGCGGCGCGGAACAACTCGAAGTCGGGGGAAGCCCCGCAGCCGAAACTCCGTGCGCTCCCTCGGGGCACAGCGAGAACCTTCTCGTCCCGCAGAGGCGTCCGTGTTTTTATGCGCATGCAGTTTCCTGGGGTCCCGGGCAGCTCGACAAGATCGCAAACGCGAACTGGAGGCGCCCAGGAATCTGCACGCTCCGCGAGAGCCCCTGCTGCTTCGGGCGCGAACTGTCTCACGGTCCACCCCGCACAGTCCAGGGCGGGCGGCGGCCGCAGCCGAATTCGGCGCGGTCTTGCCGCAACCGAACTTGGTCCTTTCCCGTCAGTCCCGCCCCTCTGCTCTGCGGCGATTGGCGGCGGGGAGTGACTCTTGCGCTGATTGGCGGACGGCGAAGTCGCTCCCGGACTTGTAGGTTCGGCTGTCCCCTTACTAGTAAATTTTTTTTCCTCAGACCAGACCCGCGCCCGCGGAGAATCGGAGCTCTGTGGAGGTGGCCCAGGCGATTGTCCCTGAGCTGAGCGCATCACCCTGTCCCCAAATCCTTTCCTGTTTTGTTTTTTCATTCCCCTCCTCCCTTTCTCTCTCGCTCTCTCTCTCTCTCCATCCCTCCCCTCCCCCACCCCCCAGTCCGCGACGACTGGCTCTTGACCCTGTTCAGGCCTCGGTGAAGGTGAGGACCAGAGTCGCCCCGGAGGCTGAGTGGTGCGCTCTGAAATGGCCGCTGCCTGCATCTCTGTAAAATGGCGGCCGCAGCCCCGCAGGGGACGGCGGCGCTGCTCGTGCAGCGCAGCGGCCACCAACACCGTTCACCCCAGCACGCGTGGAGATGAAGTGGACATTTAACGTGAGGGTGCAGAGACGTTTTCGGGTGATGGCCAGCCGGCCGCCCGGGGACGCGAGAGAAGAGTTCCGAGGCGAGGGTGGGGGCCGGGCTCCAGCTGTGGCAGCTGCGGACCTGGCGCTGGAGGCCCGGGGCCGCCCGGCGAGGTGGCCGCTGGACCGCACTGCAGTTAGGAGCCGACCCAGGCGTCCACACCCATCGCCCTTTGTTCCCGCTTTCTGACTGGGCAGCGCTGCCACCACCTTCCTGCCCCCCAAGGGCGTTGTTCAGCGCTGGCACGGGGGAAGGAGGAGGGGGTGCTGGTGAAAGGATTGTGTCAGCGGCCAGTGTTTCCGGGAGAGGAGACGAGGGGGCCCCCTTTTCTGGGAGTGCCATAGAAACGTCTCTCTCTAGGGTCCCCAGACTCTGTCCTAGAGAGAGTGGGGGGCGGGGACATCTCTGAAGAAGTAGGTGTGAGGTGCTTCCTGAGAGGAAAGCGATCCCTCTTCCACCTTAAAAGGAGGATCCCTGAGTTTTAAGTCCCCCAGCAGCACCCTTCTCCCCCAAAGCTTTCTGCAGACACGTTCCAATGGGGATGGGAAAGAGAATCTGGCAGGGAGTCCTTTGGCTTCTGTTAATGAAGAAGGGAGCCCTCGCAGCTGCCCGCTTCGACAGAGTCCACTTTCTGGCCATAGTAACCCCTTGTAATCCTTTGTCCGATGCACGACCTGAGCGTTGGTACCAGATCACTCAGTTCTTTGGAAATGAGAGTCTTTCAGAACAAGGCCAGGGCTGTGGAACTTTGGGGATTCAGTTTTTCCCTCTGTGTCTGTTCATTCATCGCGATGGGGGGGTTGGGGGGAGAAGAAGGGCGGTGCTTATTGCTATTCCCTGATGCTATTTGTTTTGAGGATTCAGTGAGAGAAACTGATGAGTTTAGCCATTAACTGGCACATAGTAAACAATGGTCACTTAGTATGTGTGTGTGTGTATATATATATGTATATGTATATATATATACACACACACTCATTGACATTTTGGAACTTGGGTAAAAAATAAATAAATCGTTATAGCCAAAGAGCATGTTTCATATAACACCTATAATTCCATTTTGAAATCGTCATTTCATTTCCTTACTCTTAATGCGGAATATTAGAAACATTAAGATGTGGCTATACTTTTGAACATTAGATTTCCTCTTGTAAGTCTACCCCCCCCCCCCCCCACTTCCATGAAGTCAGTGGGTTGGGTTGGGTTGGGGAAGCATCTCAAAACAATGAATTACCTGGATGTTAAAATGGAAGAAAATACTGAGGTTTTACACAGCAGGGCATCTTCTATTTTATTCAAAGGTCTGCACTGCAGTGAAGGATCTACATTGCCTGAATCTAAACAATTTTTAATAAACAGTATCAAATGTTTCTTCTTTTTGCGATGTCCAATTTTAATCTTTCTTGTTTCTAGGCATTTGGTTACGTCCTTTTCACCCCATCCTTTAATTCTTTTATTTTGAAGAGTGCATTTCAAGCTGCCAGTGTGATTACAGATGGAAATTCAGGTATCTATCCTTCTAGCTACTAATAGGAAAAGCATTTCAATTCAGAATCTGAGAATACAAAGCCTTATACCGTAGCAAAATCACAAGGTTTAAAGTTAAAAATTAGATATATTTGAATACTTTCATTTATGAAGTTAATAGAATTTTTACATATCCTAAAATTGGCATTGTCCTTCCATTTAATTATTCATTATTGTTATTATATATGAGAAATAAGCCTATTAAAATGAGAATTTATGTTTTCTTTTAGGTCCTGGTTAAATCGTCATCTCTAGTGTAATGGGATACAGAGTAATCAGTAAAATAAATTTAAATTGCTTTATGTCTTAATTTGTATAACATAAATATGTAATTTTAAAGGAATAACTTTTGATCTACGGTTTATTTTTAAAGGTTAATCCACAGTATTTAGAATACAATAGAATTGTCTGTGTTATGAAACTTTAAACTGAGTTTGTGTTTTTTAGTAGAGCTTAGACAGAATAGTTGCTAGCCCTTATAAGAACCTCCGGATGCAACAGTAGTAACAACAGTAATGTATCTAATGACAGTAGGTATCAGAAAGGTAAAAGATATTCCAGGGTACTATATACCATAAGAAGGACTGGCAAATTGTGACACATCTCTTTTCATATGTAGAGACTTTCTGGAACATTATTGGGTTTTGTTCTTTCATACATTGTCCATGAAGCCATCCTACAGAGTTTACTAGTTGCAGCAGAGGTTATCAGGCTCGTGGAGAAAAAAAAATACTGACTCTAAGACCTTTACAGGAGAAGTTTGCCAACCTCTGTCATGCAAACTATTTTAAGGTCCTTTACTTTAAAATAACCAACTCTTGGTTATTTCTTAACTAGACAGTTATTAAAATGTGTGCAGTATTAATATTCTTTAATAAGTGTTCTGAGAAGTATTGAGGCGAACAACTTTTCCTTATAGTTTAATTTTATACTTAAGACTACTAAAATAATTTGTATAGTTTTTATTTTTTATGTGATAATTTTATTTTTATGTGATAAGCAAAGGTGTGCCATACCTAAGAGCACCAGTAAATCACATGAGAGATCACCTGATAACCCAAATAATGAACTGTGATGTTCCAACTGCATATTGATTCATTGGCAGCATTTGCTAATTAACTGATGTGTTGCTGTATATCATCTCTTTGATGATTACTTCTTGCCTCTGTAGCCTATCTTACAATTCCAACACATTTGTGGTACTCTATGTCTATCTTAAATTAACCGTGTTTTGTACTACAAATACATTGCCTATGGATCTGTTGCTGAAACAGGGAAGTCTTAAACAAGAAGTTGAATCTTTCTGTTATCAAATTGTGTCTGAATCAAATGATCAAAAGGTTGGAATATTACAAAATGAAGGTGAACAGCTGCAGCCTTCAGTTTCTAAAAACTCAGAAGGTGAGCTCTCCAGAGTCAAATTTATGTCCAATTCCAGCAAAATAACATCATTTAGTAAGAAACCAAAGAGAAGAAAATATGATGAGAGTTATTTGTCTTTTGGATTTACTTACTTTGGAAATAGGGATGCGCCTCATGCTCAGTGTGTATTATGTAAGAAAATTTTATCCAACAGTTCTTTGGCCCCTAGTAAGCTTCGAAGACATTTAGAAACAAAGCATGCTGCACATAAGGACAAAGACATAAGCTTTTTCAAGCAACATCTTGATTCACCTGAAAATAATAAACCTCCAGTACCTAAAATTATCAGTACAGATAATGAAAGTGCTACAGAGGCATCATATAATGTAAGTTATCATATAGCCCTCAGTGGAGAGGCTCATACTATTGGAGAATTGCTTATCAAGCCCTGTGCGAAAGATGTTGTGATGAGGATGTTTGATGAACAGTATAGTAAAAAAATAGATGCAGTACAACTTTCAAACAGCACTGTTGCACGTCGAATAAAGGATCTGGCTGCTGACATTGAAGAAGAGCTTGTTTGTAGATTGAAAATTTGTGATGGGTATTCACTGCAGCTAGATGAATCGGCTGATGTTTCAGGACTTGCTGTACTGCTTGTGTTTGTTCGGTATAGGTTTAATAAGTCGATTGAGGAAGATCTGCTCTTATGTGAGTCTTTGCAGAGTAATGCCACTGGTGAAGAAATTTTTAACTGTATCAACAGTTTTATGCAGAAACATGAAATTGAATGGGAAAAATGTGTTGATGTTTGTAGTGATGCTTCTAGGGCAATGGATGGAAAAATTTCTGAGGCTGTCACCTTGATAAAATACGTGGCTCCTGGAAGCACCAGTCATCACTGTCTGTTATATCGACAAGCACTAGCAGTAAAAGTAATGCCTACATCTCTGAAAAACGTGCTAGATCAGTCAGTACAAATCATCAATTATATTAAAGCTCGACCCCATCAATCCAGATTACTAAAAATTTTATCTGAAGAAATGGGTGCTCAGCATACAGCACTTTTTCTTAATACAGAGGTGAGGTGGCTTTCTCGAGGGAAAGTTCTTGTAAAACTTTTTGAGCTTAGGCGTGAACTATTGGTTTACATAGATTCTGCATTCCGGCTATCTGATTGTTTAACAAATTCATCTTGGCTGCTAAGACTTGCATATCTTGCAGATATTTTTACTAAATTAAATGAGGCTAATCTGTCAATGCAAGGGAAAAATGTGACAGTTTTTACAGTATTTGATAAAATGTCATCATTGTTAAGGAAATTGGAGTTTTGGTCATCATCTGTAGAAGAAGAAAACTTTGATTGTTTCCCTACACTCAGTGACTTTGTGACTGAAATTAATTCTACAGTTGATAAGGAAATCTGTAGTGCTATTGTGCAGCATCTAAGGGGCTTGCGCTCTACCCTATTAAAATATTTTCCAGTAGCAAATGACAGTAATGCTTGGGTTAGAAACCCTTTTACTATAACTGTTAAACCAGCCTCATTGGTAGCACGGGACTATGAGAACCTTATTGATTTAACATCTGATTCTCAAGTAAAACAGAATTTCAGTGAACTTTCACTAAATGACTTTTGGAGTAGCCTCGTTCAAGAGTACCCCAGCATTGCAAGGCGTGCAGTTCGTGTACTACTTCCTTTTGCTACAATGCATCTGTGTGAAACTGGATTTTCATATTATGCGGCAACAAAAACAAAATATAGGAAAAGACTTGATGCTGCACCTCATATGCGGATACGACTTAGCAATATTACACCTAATATTAAGCGGATATGTGATAAAAAGACACAGAAACACTGTTCTCACTAAAATTTGAAGAGTTTTGCATGTCTCTTGTTAACCAAATACAAAGAAAATAAAAGATGGTTTATTTCATTTCTGGAATTTGGGGTTTTTTAATAAAGTTCTTTTTTTATGTTAGATTTTAAGAAAATCAAAATGTAAATGTATATTATTACTTGTATTTTTTACATTGTGATTTCAAAGTGTCCCATGATCATGACAGAAAATGTTTAGCAATATAGAAGTCCTAAATTCCAACCAGTCTGTCCATATCTGCTTTGTCACTTTACAGTCACATGAAACTTTTTTCCATTCCCTGTACCTTTAGGGTCCAAAGATCTTTCTCATACCTGCTTCCAAACAATACTTAGCTGTTTTTCTCATGATGCCCAGTGACATTCACCTTCGCTATTATGCAGTTACATTTTTCATTATTGGGTATGATGGCTTATATTTGTATATAATGGTTCTGTATAGATTGCTAACCTTTTTGTTTGGTTGGCTTTTTGGGTCATACCTGGTAATGCTCAGGGGTTTCTCTTAGCTCTGCACTTATGAATTATTTCTGGTGGCCAGGGATCAAACCCAGATAGGTCACATGCAAGTCAAATGCCTTACCCACTATAACTATTCCTCTGATCCCCCAATTTTGGTTTTTAGCTCAGTTATTGTTACCTAGAATTCATTGTGGCCCTTAAGCAGAAATTATTGAGGAATGCTATAACTGGTTTCATTTTGAACTGGGGGGGAAGTTGTTATTTTAATTATTTCAAATTCCACATGTCCTAAATTAATAAGACTTTGGTTTTCTGAAAGATGACTAGACTCAAAACCCCTATAAATTTATTCTCAGAATATTAGGAAAGATTTCTGATTGACTTTCCTGTCTACACTTATGTGAAATCATACAATACTCGTCACCAACTCAGTGTTAACGTTATGTGTTTACAGTAAAAAGCTACTTTGGGAGTAGGAATACCTCCCTTCTCTAAGCAGATGATAGAAAGCCGAAGTTCAGTAACCTGTTCCACTAAACTATTTAACATTAAGCTTTTTTCTTTTGGTTTGATAATTTCTTTTTTCCTTTTTAAATTTTATTTTCATAGGTTGCTCCCAATATTTGTTTACATTCAGTATTTCAACACCAAACTCACCACCTTCCCAGCACCATTATTTTGAATTTTCCAACCACCGTCCATTCCTGCCCCACAGGCAGATACTAAATAATTTAGTTTGTTTTGCTTGCTATGAATAGTATGAGATGTTGGGGCCATGGCTCATGGAATTTGTAAATTTGTAAATATTTGGGGTCCGGAGGTATCTCAGCAGTTGCTACTCTTCCGAGATTCATTTGTGAGTCTCTGAATCATGACTGTTAATGGACTTAAATGATGCCTTGCAGTTTGTGGGTGTGGCTGCCACGGAAACTGAAGGGGTGGGAGATTGGGGGAGGTTGCCCATCCTCCACCCCTTGAATCCTAGATGTTTTCAGTCACTAGTCCTACATACCTGAGTTTTTTGGAGGATTCATTCTCATTCATTGGGGGCTAGAGACAAGTCTGAGCCTGGCGGCAATTGGGTTCTGTAGGTTTGTGATTACCAGGCTTCATTTGGGGCATGTGGAGGGACACACCTGCGTTGAAATCAGCCTAGCATAGGGGTGGGGAGTCATCTCTGCAGCATGCTGCTCTCTTCCAAGATTTATTTGTGAGTCTGATTTTGATCTCTTTTGAGATTTATTTATGGGTCTCTGAAGCAAGACTGATAAATTAGCTAATATTACTGAGCCAGAGATGGTTTGTGGGCGTAACTCCCACATACCTAATTTTTGGCCATTTAGTTTCTTGGGAAACTTGGTCCTAAGTTGGGGTCCAGCCAGAGGCACAGTGGCAATTTTGGGGTATCAGGAAACCTGAAGGCACCATCAGGCTGCTGAAGCACTCGCCCCAAGGATAGAGGTTTACCTGCTGGGCACCACTATACCCCTAACATTAAGCATTTAAACCTTCCTGAACCCTATTTATAGACCTGAAATTAATCCCTTTTTGAAGAGTTACTATAAAGATTATAAAGGTAAGGTAAAGGCCCTCCCGTTGATCGTCGATTTGCTCGAGCGGGCCCAGTAACGTCTCCATTGGAGAATTTGTTGTTACTGTGTCTGGCATATCGAATACTCTCGGTAGCTTGCCGGGCTCTCCGAGAGGGGCGGAGGAATCGAACTCGGGTCGGCCATGTTGGCCGCTTGTAAGGCGAACGCCCTACCCGCTGTGCTATCGCTCCAGCCCCAATAAAGATTATAAGAAATGAATATATCATTGATAGGCAACACTCTTTACACTCATAGTTGATGTTTTGTGGGATTTTTTGCATTAAAGAGTTTTATTGTTTATAAATAACATTGATGATCTAACAATTTTTAATACTGAGTTTTTTGCGATTTTTATACATTTTATTTTCATAAAGTAGTTCACAATAGTTCATTACAGATAATATTCAAACACCCACCCAACCAGTGAGCATCTTCCTATCACAATAAGAGGGAAGTGTGTGAAGGTTGTTCTGTTTCATTCTGGGGCCATTTCTGTATATAAAAAAACACAAACAAGTATGTTAGAACCAAACAATGTGCTGCTTTAGATACATCAGTGGGCTAGAGTATAAGAGGTCACTCCAGGAAATACTGCATAGTTCTCTTCTGGGAGCTTTGTTTTATAGTCTCTGGATCTTGGCTTTTGATGAGATTACATGGCACTGGGGGCAATTAGTGGGTGTGACTGCCAAGCTACTGGAAAACTGGGAATCTGGGTGGAGGAGGCTCACTCCCCATCCGAGCAGGCTTGGAAATCTCAGCCACAGGTCCTGCATACCTGGGTTCCTCTGCTGATTCTTTCATGCATGAGGCTCGTCCGAGCATATGGAGAGTGGCCTTCAGCATGGCTGTGGCTGGGTTCTGGAGGTTTTTTGGCTTCGGGGATTCTGCTTGGAGGGAAACTCAACCTACCCCCCCCCCCAAGGGGCCCTGGTGAAGACAGCCTGATGCCGGGGCAGGAGATTCTGCCTAGTTGATGTTTTTGTTGTGAACGTGGATCATCTATCTGCTGTGTGCCTTAGCATAGATGTTTATTATCAGTAATGTTTATAACAATTTTATTGGAGTAGATAATGTTTTAATTTACCAAAAGTCACACAGTAAAAACAGAATTTGATTTCTTTTGGGCCAGAGAGAGAACAATGGAAAAGATATTTGCCTACCATAACACTGACCCAGAATTGATCCCCAGCACCATATGTCCCTTGACTACTGCCAGACTAAGCACTGAACAGGGTTCCTATCAAAACTTGGGTTTAAATGCAGGAATCTAGACATTGAGATTTGGCAGAAAGAATTGGAAAGCAAGCAAGTTTTGGAAGGTGTGACCCCCCAAAAGAATGGTGGGGAGTATTTTCCAAGATGATGCTTTTTGTGGTCATTGCCTTTAAAAATTTGCTAACAGCATTATATGCCAAACATAAGCTAAAACTCCCTATTCAAATGTGGACATTTCTTTGAAATCCCAGGGTTTTTTTGTTTTTTTGTTTTAGGTTTTTCAAAATTATCCATCTATGTCAAAATGTGACTTTATTTTAATATAAAAACATAGGGACCAGAGCAATAGTATAGCAGGTAGGGCATTTGCCTTGTACATAGCTAGCCAACCAGGTTCCATTCCTCGTATCCATTATAGTCTGCTGAGCACTGCCAGGAGTGATCCCTGATCACAGAGCCAGAAATAAGCCCTGAACTCAGCCGAGTGAGGCCCAGAATCAAAATGGTTGCTTGCTGTCCAATTCTTTTTGCCTAATCTCAGAGTCTAGATTCCTGCATTTAAGCCCAGATTTCAATGGGAACCCTCTTATCTGCCACTAAACCTCTTTAGTGCTGACCCTTCTTCTGTGCCAAGAACTTGGTTCTTGATCTCAACTGCTCACCTGTACTATAACCTATCAAGACTAATCTATGTATGCAATACATCACTAGTGTGAACAAAACTTTTAGCACCTGATGGATAGTAGACATGTATAGTTGAAAATGGCTACATCAGGATTACTATAATTACCATGGTTAACTCCCAGAGACTCCAAAAACATCATTAGTGTGCTCCCCTTTAAAACTTTAAAAATGCCGGAGGTATGGTGCCGCCAGCAGGTCATTCTGTACCTGTGAGGCGAGTGCATCAGCAGCCTGATGGCGCCTTCAGACTTCCAGATACCCCAAAATTGCTGCTGTGCCTTTGGCCAGACCCCAAAAACTTGGGGAAAAGTTTACCAAGAAAGTAAACAGTCAAAAATTAGGTATGTGGGAAACACACCCACAAACCACCTCTGTCTTGGCTATATAATTGGAGGTAAGGCCTCTCTGGTTCCTGATTGAACTGCTTAATGGCCATGATCCCAGAGACTCAGAAACAAATCTCGAAACCCAGCAGATTTTGGCATAAATGCATCCAGTCCCTGCAGTAGGTTACTGGTGCTGGGCCAACCCAGGTGGGAATAGGTTTCGTGCCTTGGCCTGTTCCCCCTGTTGGCCCAGTGGCCGCCATCCTTCAGAGGCCACTGAACAGTCAGGTTTGGGCCTCCAGTGATGAGACACGCAGGGCCTCACAGGATGGGGGTGGAGCCGGTCCTGTCCTCCCCACCCCAACAAGATCCCAAATCATCACCCACGAACGGCCTCTCTGGCTCCTGATCAAGCTGCTTAATGGTCATGATCCCAGTGACTCAGAAACAAATCTCAAAACCCAGCGGCTTTAGGCAGAAATGCGTCCAGACCCCGCAGTAGATTACTGTTGCCAGACCACCCCAGGGGGGAAAGGGTGTTGTCCCTCCGCCTGCTCCCCCTTGGCCGCTCAGTGGCCGTCATCCTCCAGAGGCCATTCGACAGTAAGGTCTGGGCCCACAGTGACGAGACTTGTTGGGCCTCACAGGATGGGGGTGGAGCCGGTCCTGGTCTCCCCATCCCAACAAGACCCCAAGTCATTGCCCACAAATGGCCTTTCTGGCTCCTGATCAAGCTGCTCAACAGCCATGGTCCGAGAGACTCAGGAGCAAATCTC